CTCTTTACACATTATTCTTTCACAATGCAGTCATTTTGACTGCTTTGGGCAATATAGGTATACATACAATATAGGTTTCAGTCTTTCTAGTGTTAATTAAGCACCTGATAGATACTTTTGCCAAATTTCAGTGCATTTTACCACATAGTTCCTGAGTTATGTTTATTCAAAATTGACTACTTTTCGGTATGTTTAACATAAGCTTAACTCGAAATATATAGAAATTCATTATCACTATGTCCATGAGAGTGTAAAAGAAAAATTAATTGAAGTATGTAAAGTTGAGTCGAATGAGAATATCGCAGATATTTTCAGTAAAGAGTAGAGAAAAATTTCAAAACTTTAGAGAGTGATTAAGTATAACTCAGAAACTATGTGGTAAAATGCACTGAAATTTCGCAAAACTATCTACTAGGTGCTAAATTAATTTTACTGAAAGTTTCGTGATTATCTCGAATAGTGTTCATAATTATCTTAAACATAATAAATCGAAAAATTCTCTACATGTTTCACAAAACCAAACGCATCTCTCATCTATTTTTTTAGATTCGGTACAACAGGCGATATGTCCTTAAAAAAATATTGGATCTTTGTTTCGGTTCTTTTGCCTATCGTTGACTGTTTACCTCGGTAAAACAACCCCGGGCGATTGGTTAACGAGCCAGAGGTTTGATAACCCACGCAATTCACTGTATGCTATTAAAGTTGTTCGAACAAAGGTCGTCTATATAGAATCACGATAATTACGTGAAATTCGAAGATTCTGATTGCTGTGAAGAGATCGTGACTGTCCCTGTCGTTTCCAGTTTTAAATACGAACAGATACCTCTGCGGTGTGACTCGTCAACTCGAAATCTAAGTTAGTTGAAATATCAGAGATATCTAATTATCTCGTTCGCACACCGCAGATACATTGTTCGTTATGTTTGGTCCTCGTTAGCCAAGTTCGCAAGGATTTAAGAACTTGCTCGTTCCAACTCGAGCAAATAAGCTAACAGAGTTCCGAAGTCGTGCAGCAAAACACGTTTACGTAAAATATAATAAGATTATTCTATTTATCTTTTGAACACTCTTGTGCAAAAAGAAACTGCATTTCTTTTTACGATACCATTAAATGCATAAATTCAACTTGCAGTTAAAAATAACCGGAATCGATATTTTTCAATGTATGACTACATTTTTCAGTTTTTCCTGCTTCTGTTAAAAACGAGCGAAATAATTTGCTGAAGAGGTGTTAAAGAACAGGTGTGTCTTTCTCTTCCTATGTACGACGTTTCAGAAAAAGAGTTGATACGCATGCATGAAATATAGACCAGCTCTCTTCCTGTTGCGCATTTTTGTACTATATTTTCCTGTCCCGTGAGACGCGATAATTTTTCCAGGCTTCTGCGTGGTACCCTGTCAGTTCTGCATTCATAAATCCTGTCTTATCGTGACTGGCTCGCTATTAAATCAACCAATGGCTCTTAGTGTGTATTATATATCATTCCATTAGATCGAGTAGGTAATTACTGATCATTTTACTGCGTCAACGAATCGCTCGCAAACCAGAGTTCCTATTAACGCTCGTTAATTGTCAATTTTCGTCACGTCAATCAATTCAATGCATTTCCAAATTGAATTTCATCTATTATACTTCTTTGTACTGCTAAGTTTTTATAGGATCAACAAATCTGTTAGTAGAAACTTTATATTGTTTTCGAGATCCCTTATATTCCTGTGTCTGTATGAATTGATCGTCGCTTTATGACCAGCATTTGTCGATTGCAGCACATGCTCGCATAGAGCGTCATGCCGAGTTTCATGTAGATATAGTTTTGAAACTCTGCATTTGGGACACAGCTGATCGTTCGATTGACGTACATAGGTCTACCATTCGATTTATGACAGTACGACTGTGTCATGTGTAGTCTAAATATAAAGAACTTGCAGCCTATTCATATTCTCTGTACGCCTTGATTTACTTTTATACCATTGTAGGAGATCAATAAAAATAGTGTAAATGAATTTGAAAAATCGATGCGGTCTTTTCATTTTTAAAAAAATTGAATATGGCCTTTCGTATGCAAAAGGTTTTCCATCCTGCGTATACTCCACGTCATAGATTTAATAAAAAGCAGCTGGAAAGACAGGATCTGAAAATCGAATTAATCTTCCAGTATCGTTTTATTTAAAATAGAATACTTTGGAATTGCATGAATTCTTATTTTCAGAATTGCTTTGTTAAAATTATCCAACTCTTTGATTAACGTTCAGAATCACTTCATCAATCAGGCATTCGAAATAGCATATTAATTATAAAACATGAGGAGTATCAATGTGTTTTGAGAATTTTTCACGCAACATACAAAGGAAAATGTATATATCAGGATTGATTTAAAGTTTTATTTTTCGAGGCGGAAGTTACGAGAACGCGTAACGAGATTTGTTTCAATACGCATTATCGAAACTTGTACGATTGGATGAGAACAAAAGTTTATTTTTCATTCTGCGGCAGTAATTTCATTAAAAACAATATATATCTTCCGGGTAGCGGCAGATAATTTGACACTGTTCATTACAGTTTATTTATTGTTTAGCACTGAAGCTTTTTCAAGTATAATTGCATTTTCTCGAGAACTGCTATAAAATTTAAACGTACGTCGTTGAATATCTGGCGAAGGTACAACAATAATTTTAAATTAAGATAGTAGTTCCCATGTTTCTCTGAAAAGATATTTCAACGCAAGGAACTTTCGTATTCCTTTCTCTTTAACAGTAAGAGAGTAATGCTGCTGCTTTCTTTTCGTTTATTAATGTGGAGTTCCGGAAACCTGAGCGAGTTTACACGTCTGTTCATTTGTTTCCTTTTTTACCAGACGTTTAACTAGCAGAGGGCGAAAGATAGGCAAAACTTTTTCGTCGAAGTTTGTACGAATTCAGTTTGCACCGCTGAAAGGCCCTTCTCAATGGCTATCGAATCAGAAAGGGCTTTCAAACCGACCAGTCCTTCGTGGTAGAAAAAATTGCGGGCAGAAATATTTTTGCGAACTGGAATTCAACGGGCTCTTTCAGAAATTGGAACATTTTATTCGGTCTTAAAAAAAATTCTACAGAAAAAAGTAACAAACGAATATTTTCATCACAAACTAACGTTTACCCCAGGCATGCCTCATAAAAAAATAGAGAACGGCCAATATATTTTTGTTGATTCCGTAAAAAATAGAGAAAACATACTTTGTAGGAGTTTCTCTAACATGCAGAGAGGAAACAAAAAAAACCCTACCGTTAATTATCTCTCTTTAAATTAACTGGTTTCAGGTCTCTCGTTTGAGCGTTCGATCTATTCTCTCATCTATACAATCCTGATATGTGTTAGGTCGGTGCAGAATTGATTGAACATTGCGATTACTTCTTATATCAGAAAACCTGGAGGAAATCCGTAACAGATAATTAAAATAAGAATTTACGATACGAAGATGAAAAAGTTACGTGATGTTCGATAACTGAACTACATGTAATTTTCTTTTTCCCTTTCACGTTCCAGGTACAATACAAAAGTTCAATATCCAGATCAAACAGTAGCGAGTAAGAAGAGCGTTGGAAATAAATACGAGTGAAAAAGAGATGACTATTGATTCGGCATAAATGGATAAACGGGACTCTTCTGTACGATTACATGATAATGCGTTAGCTTTAATTATTGCGATATCATTTTTGCACATCACTGTCACAGCGTAAAGAAGGACAATAGGCTTACGGTGTCGGCTCCTATTATTTCATGACTAACACATTCGCGATGTTGTTAGGTGCGCTGTGCGCGGGCTGTAATTTAAAAAGTATCTTGTAATGTATAAGATCGTGGATTAAACAGACTTAATTGTTATTGGTATGTCAGTACGTGGCTGTAGTTGTCAGATACAAAATTTGATTCTATGAAATTTACTTGTAACTCTTAAGAAGGATTCGACAATGGACGAAATAATTAATCGAATACTCCTGTTGGAGATAAAAGAATATTATATTTACGACCTTTTTTGCAAGTAATAGCAGTTCTACTTTAAACATTTTTCCAAATTTTCAATGTTTCGTTTCCTGTGTCAGTGATACTTTGAATGAATCGGTGAAACCAATGGAACAAAGGGTCGTGTTTCTGATTGTTATAGGCGTGGTGGCTTGATGGAAATGCAACAAAGAGTATTTTCGTTTATTTGAAAAGCATTATTTCTCTATCTTTATCAGTTGAGAAAATGAACGCATCATTTTCAGAGATGTACTACTATAGTTAATAAATACAATTTCTGGATAAATGCGATCCCCCGCTACGTCAATGTTTTCTCCCAGAGTAACTGAAAATGAGTTAATAATAATTTAGGAAGAAAACGGCTATTCGGGAAACTCAATTTGCATTTTCGTGAACCGTGAAATGGACCGTAATGTTTCCTTGCGGCGCAATACATGTAGACGCCTTATTTGCACAAGTAAATTGACTGGCTGATGGGAGAAACACGGGAAGTGCAGTTCGTTAAACGAAACGATGCTTCCCGGGGGTCTAGCCTTCTACCAATTGCCTTTCTTATACTCATTAAGTCATCAGTGAGTAGTAACATGAAAGAGAGTATTAACAGTACGATCCATGTAATAGTTCACCCATAATTAGGTCGGTGCAAAAATTCGTGTCTAATTTTTAGAACCGTCAGCCTTATCGATTTACCTTGCATTATATTAGGTTGGGGAATAAGTTCATAGCGTTTTCATAATTTCTTTTATTTTACAACGATTTGTTTGCTGTTTGGCAACGGGTAAGTATTCATTCGATAGAACTCTTTCTGTTCTACAAAAC